AAATATAAACACTACAAATGCAATTACAACCATATCAGTTAAAACAAACAACTGAAATAACTGTCCTTTCCAGCTGTAAACCAGCTTGGAGGCTGCTTCTCACAGAAAGGAAATCTGAATAAAGTGCTTTTAAGGGCTGAACAGCTAATTGGGCTTGTAAGTAATACAGAGTTGCTTTACTGGGTCACCTGAAAGGGACTAGCAAAGCATGAATAGGCTGCTAATAATACTATTAGCAAGCACTTATAAGAGGGTCTGGTGATGCGCAAAGAAGATTAAACTCATGTGGATATCAGTGAAGGTGATAGTCGAATTGGGGGAGGGGTGATGTGGGGGAGGTAGAAAACCATAGAAGCACAGTGCTAATGCCTGTTAAAATAACTACACAAATTATTTTTGTTTCACTTTAAAGTAGCTATGTAAATGTAACAGAAACATATCTATTGCTGAGAGTAATATTTCACATGTAATAATAACTATCATGCCCCAGATTGTTTTAAGTAGCATATATGCACTAGTGATTCAGTTCATCTACAGCACTGAAACATTCACGCTTACTACTTGTATGATAAAAACAACATGGTGGCAAGTTGGCATACTGTTGCATCTGATTAGCTCATTGTGTAAAATAGCTGCCACACTGGTGCGATTTCACAACATGCTTTCAGGTGCCACTGTTTTGCTTGCGCTTTTGAGGTATGGGAGCAGGTGACCAATATCTGTTGATAAAAAGGAATATATAGCCCTTCCCACTGAAAAATATGTTCAAGAATATTTTGTTCAAGGTCCAAATCCAATCCATTTCCAGGCCAACTCAGGCTCAAGGGTCTGATAAAATGAAATGTTGACCCCCATCTACACTGACTACTTAGGTTCAGTGTAGAGTTGGATTCTAACAACAACAACAACAACAACAACAACAACAACAATAACAGTTTTATTTATATTCTGCCCTATCTCCCTGGGAGACTCAGGGTGGATTCCAACAATAAAAAGACAAGCGTTCAATGTCTCAATACAACAATAAATACAGATATAATAACGTAAAATAATTAAACATATAATTTAATAGCAAAAATGGCTAAAATTCTTCACCAGTTCTTTTGGAAATTCCGGACTCCTAAACTATCTAAACAGTAACAGGATTTACAAATCCCAAAATTTGGATCAGAAGAAATGAAATATGATTTTATAGTCAGATAGTCAAAAATGTTGCAGTGAAACTAGAACTAAAACCTTTTACCCAAGCAAATGTGGTAGTGTGTGAGTTGCAGCATTTGCCATACTTGATATTCTCAATTGGCACAGGATTACAGTTAAAAGGTAATCCATTCTGTCACTCATTACAATATTTATACAGTAACATGTTCATATCATTCAATACAGTGATGAAAAATTCATTACATTGAATGCTGCAGAACATCCTACTTTTCTATTGATTTCTGTTACTTTTTTAGCAGGAAAAAAACTGATATAGTGGACCTTTGGTGTCTGTTGGTGTTTGGTTTCTGGACTCACTACAGATACCAAAATATGTGGATGTTCAAGTCTCATTATATATAAGGGTATAGTAAAAAGGGCCCATAGTGAAATGGTAGAATAACGGATTGCTTTCTGGATTTTTTTTTTTTGGGGGGGAGTATTTTTAAGATATGAATAGTTGACATGGAGGGCCATCTGTAATTGATAATGGCATAGCAACAAATTGAAAACTTGTCAAAATGCACCTTAAGATGCTTCAAAAGTAACTTCTAAAATAATTATAAACTCTTACTCCTTGCACAAATATATTAATTCTGCTTTTACTTATTTTATTTATTTATTTAAAACATTTATATTCCACCCTTCTCACCCCGAAGGGGACTCAGGGCATATACACGGCAAACATTCAATGCCAGGACACAGATTCAAATACAATATTTATTTATTTATTTATTTATTTATCATGTCAGGAGCAACCAGACAGTTGTATTACATTTTAAACAAAACAAACAGTTTGTTGTTTGCAAACACAAAGTTTGCAAGTTTGGTAGTTGATTAAATGTCCTTTGACCAGTATCTGGCCATTTGGAGTGCCTCTGGTGTTGCCACAAGGAGGTGCTCCATTGTGCATGTGGCAGGGCTCAGGTTTCATTGCAGCAGGTGGTTAGTGGTTTGCTCTTCTCCACACTTGAATGTCATGGATTCCACTTTGTAGCCCCATTTCTTGAGGTTGGCTCTGCATCTCGTGGTGCCAGAGCGCAGTCTGTTCAGCGCCTTCCAAGTCGCCCAGTCTTCTGTGTGCCCAGGGGGGAGTCTCTCATTTGGTATCAGCCATTGATTGAGGTTCTGGGTTTGAGCCTGCGACTTTTGGACTCTCACTTGCTGGGTTGTTCCAAAGAGTGTCTCTGTAGATCTTAGAAAACTATTTCTTGATTTAAGTTGTTGACGTGCTGGCTGATACCCAAACAAGGGATGAGCTGGAGATGTCACTGCCTTGGTCCTTTCACTATTGGCTGCTACTTCCCGGTGGATGTCAGGTGGTGCAATACCTATACAATACATAAACAATACACATACAATACATAAACATTAAAAAATTATCAAAATATTAAAATACACCATTTAAAACCGTCATAGTAATCCACGTCAAATCATTGGCCTAGTCATCTTTCCTATTGGCTGCAATTTGATAAAACCTAGCGGAGTGTCTCCTTTTTTCCTAACACCTTGTTAAGGTGGGGAGGAGAAGGAAAGATGCACCGTAAAAATCTGCCAGCCATGGAGTTAGTCTTCAGTTTTTATTCAGCCAACAGAATTTATATTTCTCAGGCAATAGTCTGGATTAAAATATAATTATTCTTCAACATATGCACCCCCTTCACACTATCCAGTGCAATTCTTAGCTTTCAACATTGGATACCAGAAAGCAGACTTTGTAAAAAAAAAAACACACAAACAAAACTTTTTTGTCAATAGTTCCCAGAATCTCTCAGTCATTGAGAAATATTGCTTATCTAACACATAAATTAGAGCTATGTATATATGTGTGTGTATGTATATGTGTGTGTGTGTATATATATATATAGAGAGGGGGGGGGAGGGAGGGAGGGAGAGGGAGAGAGAACATATTTTTTTAAGGAAAAATCAGACTGGTATGGAAATTTGCAATTTAAAAACAGGAAACTAACACGTTTAGATTCAATACAAAAATAGTATTGAATATCTAGCAGAAACCAGAAAAAAATATTTAACTGATGAATCTGGAAAAGACTTTGTTTGAAGTGCATAGGGATGGGGAGAATGGATGTGAACTGGCTCAGTTAAAAGTGGAATAATTCAAATTGCTAGTCCCAACTAAATCAATTGAATACATGATTATTGATTCAGCAATTGATTGAAAAGCCTTAGCTATTCATCCATAGTTCAAGGGTCCTCAAACTAAGGCCCGGCGGCCGGATATGGCCCTCCAAGGTCATTTACTCGGCCCTTGCTGAGGATCAACTTAAGTCTGAAATGAAATGAAAGAACACAACAACAACAACAACAACAACAACAACAACAACAACAACAACAACAACAAACCTATCTCATCAGCCAAAAGCAGGCCCACACTTCCTATTGAAATACTAATAAGATTATATCTGTTAAAATTGGGTTGTAGGTTTTTTCGGGCTATATGGCCATGTTCTGTTAAAATTGTTCTTCATTTTAATTATTGTATTGTTTTAAAGTGGGGTTTTTGCACTACAAATAAGATATGTGCAGAGTGCATAGGAATTCATTCATGTTTTTTTCAAATTATAATCCGGCCCTCCAACAGTTTGAGGGACTGTGACCTGGCCCTCTGTTTGAGGACCCCTGCCATAGTTTATTCAACTAATTGCTGAATGATAGCTGAACCCTGTCAAGTAAACTCTTCCCCCTCCCTTCATGACATCAATGATGGGTTCCAAAAGCAGAAAAAAATATTTTTCTTTTAATTTGCTGTGGGTTCTGAATAACACCAGGAATTTTCAGTAATTTCTGGAAATGTTCCCTGGGTTCCGGAGCCAGAGTGAAGAGAGGGGAGGCCAGGGGACAGCACCATCTTCTCTCCTGCATATGCCATCAGCTGGAGACCCCTTCCCCCAGCACCAACTGCCGCTCTGGGCCGGAGTGAAAAGAGGGGGACAGTTCCACCTTGTCTCATGTGCTATTCTAATAATTTAATATAATATAATATAATATATATTGTATAAACATATAATATTTATAATATTATAATGTAATGCAATATAATACTAATAATAACATGATATTATAATTATATATTTATATTACATGTAATATTACTAATAATATTACAATATAATTGGTATAGTATAATATAGCAATATTTAAAACTGATATTGTACTATGCTAATAATATAATATATTGTATGTATATATACCTTGTAAGCCACTCTGAGTCCCCTTCGGGGTGAGAAGGGCGGCATATAAATGTCGTAAATAAATAAATAAATAAATAAATAAATAAATAAATTCTTGTTCAACCTGAGAGCTTCCAGCTAAAGCCTTAATTCTTTAATGCCTCCATTAAAGCAACTTGACTTTCAGCAGTGCTGAACTAATCAGGGAAAACATCCTGTTGCTTCTGTTTGAGCTGATTGATTAAAATGCCAGAGCCTGCAGCCACTGAAGTGTGGACTACTAATGTTTCTTATTTTGTATTGCTGAAAGAAGGAGACCTAGGAGATACTGGAGTTGTATACAAAAAAAAAGTCAGTGATCTGAATGTGTCTCTTGGATCCTACAAAAAAAATCAGTGATCTTAATGTGTCTCTACAGCCAGGATGCTCTGCTTGTGTTGTGAGATGTAGTGGCCTGTCGGCAAATGCTTCACTTTGACAAATTCCAGGTGTGGCTCTCAGCCTGTCCCATCCTGATAGAAGTTATGTTGGTGGAATTCCAATCAGCCCTCATCGGACTGGTTTTCATGGCTAATGATGGCTCTTCGGAGAGCTCTGTCACAAGGTAGGCGGAGAAACTAGTTTCCTGTATCTGCTTATACATTCAGAGCTCTTTCTGTAGGGCTTCTTGTGAGCAATGAAATAATAGAAACAAAGGACGCTTACCCTCCATTATTCTTGCCATGAAGATAACGGGTGTCTTTGTGGTCCTTGTACTCTCCATCTACGTTGAAGGTAAGTTATGCTAGAGATAACAGAAACAGATCCCTGTGGTGGATGGATATCTTAAACTTTGCATCTTTGCATAAGAACTGGAGTCAGCACCAGTTCTTTTCTTCTCCTTTTTGGAGATACTACTTATTACAAAAGTAGTTTTCAAAAAATAAAAACAAGAGAAAGCAAATAACAGAAATTATTAGACTGTTTAATTAAGTAATTCTAGTTCTTTTGTGAAACTCATAATAGGTATGGTTTTGTGGCTGAAAAACATATATTTGGGATATAGAATTACTTTATTTGGATGAAAGCAATTGTTTTCGATAATGGTGCTTGTTCTGGAGAACTGTTCTAATGGACCTTCGGATAAAAACGTGCTTATCTACCAAAATAATGTGTATTTTTGCACTGATGCATTGAGAGAACTCAAATTCTTTGAACAACATTCATATGAGATAGAACTAAAGAAGAGAGTGATTCAATAACCTTGGATTATTTTTATTGATATGTATATGGCTTTTGTGGAGAAAGGTTTTGATAAGAAGACAAAATGAAAATGTGGCTTGACATAAAGAGCTGATAATACTTATATTTAAATAGAGCAACTAGTACCAATTCTACAATAGTTTTGCCATCAGCAATCGATTTTCAATTGGCTAGTTGAGTCTCATTTATTGTTTTTGCTTGTTTTTTTTATTTGACAAGATGTGTTGGTGTTTTTCATTAATTGTATTTTGTTTGAACTGTATTTGTATTTCACCCTGGTTCTCAATTAAAGCTGAAGTAAGAGAAATAACAAAATGCTGGTTGATGGAGTAAATCCATTGTCAGAAAATTTAAGGAATCTGTATTTGCGAGCAGCTAAACTAGCTGAGTCTAGGGACCTTTCAACTACTTATCATGGATGGCTCCTTTGAAAGTGGTTATTACCTGACTAATTTGTCTAAGGCACGGGAGAAGCTGTGGGTGTTAAATGGCAGGATGTGGCAATGTGACATTGGACTAGTCAAGTGGAGAGATGGTAATTCCTTCTAAACCTTAGAAGAATTCTCTTGACACTTGAAATATGAGATTTTTTAAAGATTCAATTATCTGGACTTTGGTCCAGTTTAGAGATTCAGTAGAGGAACTGTTCCTCATCTCTCAATATACAGACTTAGCACACAAATTAAGTTATTGTCTTGTGTTACAGTTATTGTGCCTCTATGAAAGACTATGGATATATGACAAGGTTATGTCTTCTTATATCCATTTGCATATATTAGCTAGAGCAGTGGTTCTTAAGAACCACTGCGCTAGAGCAAGATGGTGCATGTCTGTATTTCTCTAAAGCAGTGTTTCTCAACCTCTGCTCCTCCAGATATTTTGGACTACAGCTCCCACAAATCCTAACACCTGGTAAACTGGCTGGGATTTCTGGGAGCTAAACTCCAAAACTTCTGGAGGAGCAGAGTCTGAGAAACACTGCTGTAAAGGCTTTTGGCAGGAAGATATTACAGTTGGTTGACCATCAGCACTGATGCATGTATCAGAAGGTTGGAAGCTTGTCCTTGTTTCCAGTGTAGAACATATTCTGATTTTAACTCCTACTTGTGTCAGGGGGAGCCAGCAAACTAGATTCTAATATTCATTTCTGACAACTAGGAACTGCCTGTTCTGATATTTTCTTGTGCAAGTGTTGCACCTTCTTCTGTAGTTTCCAACATTCTTCTGAAATGTAGGTTGAGTGGGAAGTGTCCATCACACCTTGTGCTCATCACAATATGATTTCAGAAGAAATATGTCATCATGTCATGGATTAATCTAGCATTGGCCAGCTGTGCTCTATTTAACAAAAAAGACTAGGTGCTTCAAGAGCATAAAGATGTGTAAGAAAAAATTGATCCCAAAAATGGTTGAAAAAGATGGTGAAAACTTGAGATCTTTTTTTTAAAAAGTGACAACACATAGAGAGCTCAGTCACTATTATTTCATCTTTACATTTGTTTGTGTTATATTCAACATAGCCTTCCTCAAAGTATAGCTTCTCATACTCTCCCCAAGTATACAATGAAATAATAAAATGAAAAGCCCCAGCCAAAATTGAGCAACCAAGTCAATATAGTTGAGAACCCAAGTTTCACTTTGGTGAGGAAATGTTCATGTCACATGTTACATTGCTTAGCACTTGTCAAGAACTTCTCAACCACAAACTTAAAGGCTCCATGTAAACATGCTGCAAGTGTGATGCGGATGTTCAAGCCAAGTTGCCTCAATTTTCTTCTTTTATTACCTGTGAATCAGTTAGTGAGTCTATTGTAACATTAGTTTAACTGATGAACAGCCCAGAATATTAAATCAAAGTGCAGCTTTTTATCTTGAATTCTGAAATACTGCAAATACAAAAATGTCCACATGTGTGACTGAGATAGTGACCCCTTTGCGTAGGTCCGCTGTATGTAAACTTTTGAAGCTTGCTCATGAAGCTTTTCATGTGCAAGCTTCAAAATATTGTATATAAAATGCTGCTTCTATAAAAATATCAAATTTCCAGCTTGTAAACACAGTGTAAAGACAATTAGTCCAAGCTGCTTTCTGTCTCCTTTGTGGAGAGAAAAAGCATGGTATAAGGAATATAAAATGACATTTGGCTATGTTATACGCTGTATGTCAAAAATAAATTATTATTTAGGCTATTTAAATATTCCATGAAAAAGCCAACCCTGAATTCCAAAACACTTTTGGTACCAAGCATTTCATACCTAGCCATGTTAATTTAGAACAAGCATCCTTAAAATATGGCCCTTTAGCTGTTTGGGCCTCCAACTCCCAGAATTTCTGATCATTGATCAAACTGGCTTAGGCTTCTGGGATTTGAAGGCCCAAGCACCTGGAGAGGCACAGTTTGAGGATGCCTGATTAGAAGAAAGTCAAACAGATTTCATGAAAACTTAGTTCTAAGTATGTAATAGTATTCTTGGGATCCAACATGGTATAAGTAGTTTGAGCGTGGGACCAGGAAACTGGGAGAGCAGAATTTAAATCTCTGCTTGGCCATGGAAACCCACTAGGTGATCTTGAGCAAGTTGAGCACTCTTAGGACCATTCCAGACAGGCCCTATATCCTAGGATCCAATCCCAGGTTATCTGTTTATCCTAGATTATCTGGTAATGCAGACTCATATAATCCAATTTAAAAACAGAAAACCTAGGATCAGATCCTGGGATATAGGGCCTGTCTGGAAGGGCCTTTAGCCTCAAAGGAAGGCAATGGCAAATCATCTCTGAACACATATTACCGGGAAAACCCTATGATAGGTGCACTCATAAGTCAGAAATGACTTAAAGCACACAACAACAATAGTATGCTTAGGTACAGTTCAATTATATGATTGCTGTATTATTGATAGTTATGCTGATATATTGTTGTGCTATTGCTTTATTGTAAATTGGGTTTTTATATGTTGTACACTGCCGTGAGTCGCACTAGGGCTGAGAACGGCGGTTAACAAATGCAGTAAATAAATAAATTAAATAAATAGAGCAGTTGTTCTTTGGCAGATGACATGCCTTCAATGTTGATTGAGATTATTGTCATGGTTGGTCCTGAAAAGGTCCATTGGTTGGTTTTCTTGTTGGTTGCATGCTGCAAATCGCTTCTGGTCACTTCTGGAGTGAGAGAATCAGCCGTCTACGAAGACGTTGCCCAGGGGACACCCAGATGTCTTGCAATCCTGCGAAGAGGCTTCTCTCATGTCCTATGCTTAGGTATAGAGGTAATGATTTTGCACTAGCCCAAAAATAAAGATCTGTTTGAGAAGCTGTTGTGGCTATACGTTGTGATGCTCATCTGGTCCTCAATGAAATTCATGGATGCATTTTGTATGGATGGCTATGTCCTGAGAGTCACTACTTGTTCAAAACAAAGCAGAACAACAGATTGCTGAAGGAATTCTGGGTTTAGTATCCACTCATTTAGATTATCAAATAAATGTTTTTCCAAACAAAAAGAAAAACTGGATCTTCACAAGGACTTTGCAAGAATTATAATCTGTGTTTAATTTTTGTTGCAGATGTTACCAGTCAGGCTAAATACCAGGTTAGTCCAGATTTTTCTGTTATTCTTATTAAATCAGTTTGTTAATGCTAACTGTAAGCAAATGAACCTCCTAAATATTGTTTCAAACCAATTACTGCTTATTCAGTTTTCTTTGGAACAGGAATATCATGAACTTGGGTCATAATTAAGAAAATTCTGTTTGGTTAAAGATAGACAAACATTTGTCTTAACCTTGAACATAATACAACTTTTAAATGATCAGTATTACAGTGTTCATATTTTCAAATGTGTAATTCATTTCAATGGATGTACTTTGATTATCTCTATGTTTGATTCCAACTCATAATTTTTAAAGAAAAATGTCTTCTCTTTTCATGTTATAAAATAGCAGAGTCCATATTGCTGAAGAATGACAGCACCAATTATAGTCCATATTGGGGGAATTCAAAGGTATTCGATGAAGAATGTCTACTGATAGTACATGTGTACAAAACACATTGTTGGGGTTCTAATTCAATGTTTCCCAAAAGTTTATAACCTAAGAGAAATGGCCTTATATATTATAAATGGGCATGAATGTTCCCCTTACATCCACTATTTCCTGAAGCAGCCCCATAGGTAAAGGGTCAAGAATCTATGGGACAGTTATCCTTTTATCCTATTCCATATTATCTCTTGGCATCCCATCCTCTACTTTCAACATTATCATACAGGGCTTAAACTGGCGGCATGTACCTGTAAAGCCCTAGGTAATCCATGCAGCCTGCCGGCATTGCAGCAACATAGGAGGCAATGGGGGAAGCCACATGATCAGTGCTTCTTCCCATGGAATCAGCTGACTTAGGAGCCATGCAATGTGGGATTACAGGTTCCCCATGCCCCCAATGAGGGTTGCCAAATTCACCACGATGTGTGGTGATTCCAGTGGTCATGAGAGCAATCACAATATCATAGATAGATAGTGGATACATACTGAGACAAACACAGTTGACATCACAGCTGTGTTCATTTGAGCAACTGCATCTATTTGACAATCCATGATTCAGTGATTGTATTTCCACATATTCCCTGTAACTCCAGTGTCCTGCACTTCCATTGCTCCATAAATTATTTATTTTTAGGAGCAATTTTGTTTTTATTTGTTTTTTTAAGAGCAATTTTGCATTTTTAGCAATAAATAACAAAAAGGCAAATATAACTGTAAAATATTAAACACAAAATATGTGCTTCAGGAATAGCAAAGAGGAGAAAGGACAATGGGAGAGGAGGGAAATCTGTTTGAATTCAACTTTGGTGATTTCCCCCCTTTTCCATTTCTTGTGCCTGACTCTTTTAAATCTTAGCTCAGTTAAAAGTTCTTTGGACATCCATTCTGATTGTTTTACACTTCTATTTTTTTCTCTTTGTTGGAACTGTTTGAAATCATGCCTTCAGTATCACACTTTTAATAAACTCCCATTAACTCCCTTCTCTTTCAGTAATCCTGTCCATGGAATCACACTCAGCATTTCCATAAATTTCCTGAAGTCAGCTCTCCTAAAATTTAAAATGTGTGTTTAACTTCTCTTAGTTTTACCCTTCCTTTGTATCACAAATTCTAGGAGCACATGGTCACACCCACCTAAGGATCCCACCACTTCCACTCCATTGACCAGATCCTCAGTGTTAGTTAGGATCAGGTCCAGAATAGCTGATCCCCTTGTTGCCTCTTCTATCTTTTGAACAATAAAATTGTCTGCAAGGCAAGTGAGGAAGTGATGAAATCCTTGTCCTATACCCACTGACACAATCCACTAGGAAGTTCTCCATCTCTGGCTCCTATTAATTTTAATGGGTATAATTCAGCAAAAATCTCTTGTTGAATGGTATCCATATATGTCCACATTGCATACACATATCATTTGATACCCATTTACTTGTCATAATTCCATTCTATGGTGTTTCATGAGGCATATAGAATTATCTAATGCTGTAATTCAGGGGTGTGCAATTTATAACTGAAAGTATCTTACCAAATTACAAATATCAGGATTCTGTAGGCTGGAGACTTGGTCTCAAACAGTTGCACACTTCCCAGAATATTTTTTTTAAATAAATCTTTTAAAATAGATCTTTAAGTTTCAGAAGGAACATTTTGTTGCGTACATCTTGCTACAAAAGAAGAATTTCTCTATCGGATATAATGAATATCGAAACCTGGGGATAAGGGAAGAGAACAGAAAACAGAAAAAAGAATCATATTGCTCATTCCAACATAAGCAATTTAAGGATTACAGTAACCATACGCAACACTAAACAGTAACACACCTTTTTATAATCCCTTTAGGAAGGCATGTGCATTGAATTCCAGCCATTTTTAGAAAATGGAAATTTATACTGCAACAGAGACATTGATCCTGTCTTTGGTCCTGATGGCAAGAGACACACTAACAAGTGTGTCATGTGTCGGGAAGTCTTGTGAGTATTAGAAATAAGCAATTGCTTCAGAGATGCTAATGCAATAGCCAAAGCTGCTATACTGGTTGTTTTCACCTTGTCTCCTCCTCCTCCAGACTTATTCCTAGTTTTATCTTCATGGCATAAACTCCTGGGTTGAGGCAAAGACTACAACCTACAACCCCAGAGCAGAGAGGTCAGTTTCCAAGCTCTTTCCCCACCCTTCAATCCATCAAAACCTAAACAAATTCTGGAAATTGTAGTTTGATGAGGTACCAGCACACTTTGGCAGAAAAACGTAAAGACTTTGTAAAACTACAACTGGCGTAATTCCATATCACTGAGCAGTTGAGCGTGGCAGTTAAAGTGGTGTCAAACTGCATTAATTCTACAGAGTAGATGCAACCAGAAACAGATGATCTCCGGTGGAGGCTGACAGCTTTAATGTCAGAGGTAGGGTGAATCCATCAATACTTCATTTAAGATCAAAGAAACTAACTAGGGTAATGAGCTCTTCCCACCAAATAAACCCTTTCAAAGTCGGGGATTTTTTCCTTCTCCTGAATTTAGCATTTGTAAGGTAATTATATATATATATATATATATACACACATACATATACATATATACACACACACACACACACACACACACACACATACATACATATACATACACACACATATCTCAAAGCTCATAGAAAATCAGCATTAGTCCCATAGAAACACAAACATTTCTACTTATTTCAAAATATTGTATGGTAATAATAGTACCTTGTTTAAATACATGTATGAAGAATGGGTAATGAGGAACCCTTAGATCGGTGGTTCTCAACCTATAAGTCCCCAGATGTTTTGGCCTTCAACTCCCAGAAATCCAAACAACTGGTAAACTGGCTGGGATTTCTGGGAGTTGTAAGCCAAAACACCTGGGCACCCACAGACTGAGAACCACTGCCTTAAATGTAAAGATGCAAAAGAAATAGCATAAAATATTGATTTCCTCTGTTCTCTAACAGGCATGAGTTTATTTGGTTATTTAATGTATTTTAATCTCATGTTTTTTCAATCATAAAACCCCAGAAAGCATGTATTCCATGGGAAGAAATTTATGTGCAAAGAAAAGGTGCCCAGAACCGTTACTGAAATTTCTTTCCTTAGTATAAAACCAACTGTTAGCTACAGCTGAAGTAATCCCATTGAATCCATGCAATTTACATGGATGTTGATTTACTGAGTTCCATGAGTGCATTGTGGCTATTATTTATTTATTTACTTTACTTTACTTATATACCGCTGTTCTCAACCCGAAGGCTACTTTAATTAGGACTAACTTTGGGGTTTAGACCTACTCATGCTATGACTGGTAAATGGAAACACCAGATATTACTGGATTACAACTCCAGTCATATTTAGCATGCTAGTTGGTGCTGATGGGCCATGGAGGCCATCTATATTCAGAGAGCCTCAAGTACCCTACTCTATGCTACAACGATGTATTCCCCATTCATAGCATTTCTTTGTGGTTATTGTTCTTTATTAATAGGAGAAAAAGAAGATTTTCTGATAATGGTGGAAGAAACAGGACTAACGATTTTTCTTCAGAAAAGGTAGGGAGGGACTTTATAGGTAGATAAAGGTTGTTTTTTTTCTCTCTCTTTTTTTTAAAATTTTATTATTATTATTGTATAATACATAGAAACATACCATCTTTGAAAATAACATTCAAAATACCAGTTTTTTCCCCAATCCCGCCACCAGCACACACCCCCCCCCCCCCCCCCCCCCCCCGGGAACAAATAAATACTTTAGCTGTGTTTATTACAATTGTTCAATCATGAGAATAGTTTTGTTCAACACCGTATATTTATCTTTCCCCTTTATTCTATATATGAGACCCTTCCATTTTGCTTTCCATGTCTTTTTGCTTTGACCCGTCATATAGTAACTTTTCCTTTCGCTAATATAATCTTGAAGAAGGTAATCTGCTAAATATTTGTACCAGGTTTTTGTATCCCATTTCTTGTGGTCTTTCCAGCCCAGGGCCACTGAGGCTTTAATTCCCTCTATCATATGTTTTATTATTTCCTCACTTTCCTTATATTCCTCTTTATTTTCGAATTTCTGAGTGAAAAATTGGGCCTTATTCCATTCTATCTTGATCCCTAATAGCTCCTCCATTTCTTTCCTGATTATTTCTTGGAACTTTTGGATTTTTTCACATTCCCACCACATGTGGGCATATGTTCCTATTTTACCACAGTTGTGCCAACATAATTTTGGGCACGTTTTTGTGATATGCGCCAGTTGCACAGGAGTTCTGTACCATTTTGTCAATATTTTTCGTTGCATTTCTTTAATCTTTAGGTGTTTTATTTTATTGATTGAATTAATCCAATTGTCTATTTCTCTCTCACTGCAACTTAATTCCTCCTTCCAGACTTCTATTAGGGTAGATTTTGTGTTGTATTGTATTTCCGTGATTATTTTGTATATGAATCCCATGATTCCTTTCTCCTTCTCAACTTTCCATTTTATTATTTTGTCAAGATTTGTTTCTGAGGTTTCCTTATTCTTCAATTCTATTAGCTTTTTAGACAGCCCTCCCCATTGTAACCAATTTCCATGCCCACATTTATCTTTTATTTCCTCCCATTGAATTACAGTCCCGTCTGGTTTTAGTAAGTCCTCAATCTTTGTTATTCCGTTTTGTTCCAGTTTCTTTAGCATGTTGCGATATAGCTGGGGTTTTCTGTTGTCTAAGGAACCTATTGGGAGCTTGTCTATTTTATTTACTGGGAGTTTATTTTGCCATTTTCCCCAACAAGTCATTGTTAATGACAAGGGGCCTCCTTTTATGTTTTTTAGTTCTTTTCCCCCAATTTTCCCCATAATGCAGGTAGATAAAGGTTGTTACTACATCTTTAAAACTTAGCCTTAAAGTTGATGTTATGTTGTTACGCCTTGCTTTTAATTCGGTGATTTGAGTTTTATATTTTGTTTTCTTCCAGAGAGAAAGAAGACTTTAGCGCTTTTTGTGATTTAGGATTTTAGGCCAGTTTTGCAATGTGCAAATGAGTTGGGGTCAGGATAGTACAGTGCATTTTAATAAAATGATGAATACAATACAAATAGAAGCCTTGAATATTTCATTGAAATGTGGGATGGCATCTCCACCCATAGCACATGTGTGGGCCATGAGGAAGTTGCTTTAAGTGAGTCAGGCTTCATCAGACACTTGGTTATCAGGCTATATCAACCAACAAAATTCAGAAAAACAAGAACAACACTAACAGTTTAATATTGTGTTCTTCTCATTACCAGTTCGTTCCACCCCCACAATCATACTTGGGTTTCAAAGATCCTAAGCTCTACTTCCAGTGGGTAACTCTTTCCGGTTCCGAACTTCACTGGTCCCCAAAGTGCCCCCCCCCCCAGCACTTTGGGGACCAGCGAAGTTCGGAACCTGAAAGAATTACCCCCTGGAAACGTAATATCCAGAATCCCCCAGCCAATGGCCATGATATCTGGAGGAACTTGAAGTAACTTCTCCAAGTTCAAGTTAAGTTGATTTAGGTCCCATCTACACTGCCATATAATTCCATTTCAAACTGCATTGTATGGCAGTGTAGATGGGCCCCTTGTCTTGTTGTTATAGTATCTGAAAGGCAGGACCCTGGAAACATTGTGCATAGATATAGCAAAGTGAGGCAATAACAGTTTCTAGTCAGTTTTCAAAGACAGCCCCATGCAGAACATGTAGCATCCCATCTATATCTCATCAAGATCATGCTAGTTAAGATCAGTTCCACTTAGAAAAGGCACAAATAGCACCTATTCAAAAGGGGCAAAATAAGTATGTGACATTTCAAGAAGAACACTAGCTTTGAAACTATTCCTATAGACTACATCCAGAATGGGAAACTTCTCTTGTGTCCAACAGACTCTGCATGATGAGTCATAAAGGTTTCAGATTGTTAATCCATATCCTTCTACTATTGACCAAGGCAGTTCGGATTGTTAATCCATCTCCTTCTTTTACTGACCAATTCATGGGGCCCTCTCCAGTATTAGGAGAGATTTATCTTGATAACTTCAATATATTGCAGGCACTGCACTATCACATTTTCATGTTTTAAAAGATATCACCCTATGGAACAAATTGGCTCCCTTTGGGACAGAATAAATCAAAGGCTATAGGGTGAACAGAGTAGCACTCTCTGTCTTGAAGTATATTGAAGGCACCTTCTTTAGAGGCTTTTAAACAGAGGCTGTATGTTTAAAAGAGAGCGGGGGGGGGGGGGTAGAAGACAATTCCATCTTGTCTCCTGTCTATGTCATCAGTTGGGACCCCTACCCCCACCCCCGGCACCAACTGCTGCTCTGGGCCAGAGTGAAGAGAGAGGGGGACAGAAGACAGTTCCATCTTGTCTCCTGTGCTTTATTATAAATATAATATAATATAATATAATATAATGTATACAAATGTATTTATAATATTATGACATAATATAATATAACACTAATAATAATACAATATTATAATTATATATTTTATATTACATGTAATATTACTAATAATATTACAATATAATGGTATAGTAAAAGATAGTAATATATAATATTAATATTGTACTATGTTAATAATATAATATATTGTATGTATATATATCTTGTAAGCCGCTCTGAGTCCCCTTCAGAGTGAGAAGGGCGGCATAAAAATGTTGTAAATAAATAAATAATAAATAAAATATGTCCATCTGTCAAGGGTAATTTGAATGTGCTTTTTCTCCATGACAGGGGGTTGGACTAGATGGTCTATGCAGTCTCTTCCAACTCTATAATTCTGATTTTGAAATTTGACTTCTAAGAATGATTGGAGCTCAGACTGTTTAAAACCAGGTGGCTAATTTAGATATCAATATTTTCATCTCTGTGGAAATACTATGTCATGTGATTTAATCATAGAAACATTTCTGGAGCAGCCTGAAATCTAATAACCAGCAAGCAGCAGTTACTATGGGCAGTAACAATGAGATTAAACACTGTATCTGAAAAGAGTGCATGACCATAGCAGAAGGAGAGAACACGAACCTTCTAAAAAGGAAACATATATAGGATGGTGGTCATGCCTCTACTCAGTTCACAGAAAATTCTTATTACTGGCCGGCTCTTAGCCACTGAACTTTATGACTTAGCAGGAAGATCCAGCCAAGTATACTGAGCCCTAATATGACCTTCTGGTCACCGCTAATTTAATTCTGTACAGTGGGAATGCAAACAAGTGCAACACTAGCTTCACGTTACTCTGCCTTGTGGTACTAAAACCTAAAACTGTCTTTGCCTGACATTTTGGTTTCCTATAAGTCAAAGCTAATTGAGAGTTTATATCTGTTTCCTGTTGCCTTTCTTCAACTGGAGCTGGAATCCTTTGTGCATGTACCAGGGAGCAAGGATCCACTAAATGCAATGGGATGTGTATATCTCATGTATAGTATAATAGTATGAGATCTAAACTCACCAGGGCAGAGCCAGTCTATCTTCCTTGTTTATAAAATTCCAAACAGATTGTTGGCATTTAGTTAATGTTTAGTGGAATTAGAGCTAAGGCAAGGTGTGGAACCAAGGATAAGTAAGCCCTAATTGCACCTTGTTTATCTTGGCCGATCCCTTTCTTACACACCTATGCATATTTCTAGACAGCAAATCCTTTTATTAATGGGCTCATATTTCCTAAATTGTTTCTTTGTTGCTTGATAGAACTGCTGGAATCAATTTGTTATTACGATGCTTCTTGCTTTGCCATCTAACAATCACAATAATGAAAATTTAAAACTATGTTTCTACCCATGGTAGACTTTGGCTGGGAAAAATTAATTTTCAGAATGAAAGCAGCTTAGAAGAAGGGTTAAGTATATAGCCAGCTTCTCTTCTCTTTCAAATTGCTCCTTCTCTATGCCACTTTAAGTACAAGGAGTAGAAAACTTTTTCAAACCTGATGTGGCCACAGGACAATAAGTGACTATAGATCTCATCACAGTGAGGCTGGAACTTGCCTCGCATCATTGCAATTTCAGTGGGCCCAGGCAGGGGGCATGGGGAACCCATCACCTCTCGCCCCACATCATGCACCTTTCACCTCACCTCATCCCACAGGGGGAAGTGTCACCTCTCAGCTTCCCCATGTTGTTTCCTATGCAACACAGAAAGGTTCCGTGTAGGTGCCGCCACCTCCTGTGACACTTCGACTTCACTTGAGGCATGGATCACCACCAGAAGTCGATCGACATTGCATGATGGAAGCTGGAAGGCTCAGAGCTTCAAGTGAAGTTGAACTGTCATAGGATGGGCAATTTTGCCTATTTGATGAGGTTGTTAGAAATAGATTCGTTAACACAGCAGCTGAAATAATTTTTTAAAATATTTTTATTCATAGTAACACAATCTGTCAGTAGATAATTAACAACTGCTGTATGTATACATTCTAGATATTTAAGTATTTCTATATTATCTATTCACCTTCTTTACAAAATTGATCCTTCTCATTGCATTCTTTTATTTTGCTCCCTATTATTGTTCCTTATTATTGCCATTAACATAAATTCCTTGTTTACCTGGACTGGTATTTTGAATAATTCCTCCATTTTTTAATTATCTTTTCCCAAAAACTTGTTACGTTTAGACATTCCCAATACATATGTGCATACAAACCTTTCTCTACTTTCCAAAGTCAGCATATTGGGCTTCTGAGCTGCAAGGGAAGGGTTTTTTTTTACCACTCGGGTTTCCTCCTTTGTCTCCTCAATTTCATTCTGAAGTGATTGAATATTGCTTCTAATGTTCCTCTCCATTGTTATTAGAGAGTTGTTGTTTTTTTTAACTCAACTCCTGGAGGCTTGTATCTTCTCAGGGCACCTGGTCAGTTAGATATTCCTTTCTTTCAGTCCCACTCAGACATCTTCCTGACCTTTTGGTGCCCTGCTCAAACAGATAACAGAATGGCTACTTGTTTTATTTTCTTAGCCCTCACTTGAGCTGTAAATCCAGAATTTAGGGAAGAGGCATTTATCGGAGCATCTTGTTCCTCTTGACGCATTTGGCCAAGTCACCAGCTGAAATAAATGAGACTCGAGTAACTAACATTTATTCCATTGATTTCAGTTGATCAATTCAAAGAATGATTGAGGCTGGATCTACACTGCCAGTTTGAAACTGCATTATATGATCAGTGTAGATGCATATAAAGCAGTTCAATGCAATTAAACTGCATTATATAGGTCTTCTACATTATATGGAGTTTAAGGGCCCTTCCAGAGAGGCCTCAAAATGTAGGTAAAAGCGAATTCATTCATAATAACCAGTTATTCCAGTTAATTAAATATCACATTAGACCCGGGCCTTCCTGAAAGGCCAGGATCTAATGAGGTATTGGGTCTGTGGGGACTGACTACTGGGTAGTCCTGGGACTTCCTGTGGGTCAGTCCCCACCGCCATCTCACACTTTTGGACTCCTGGAGCCCAAAGGTACAAGATGACACCCACCCCCAAAGCCCCCCTCCCCCAGAAAAAGAGTAATTTTGCTGGGAAGTAGGAGGCCGAGTCCTCAATCAACTTGCCTCCTTGCCTTGGAAAAGAATGGGACAGGCAAGCAGGCCAAGATCACGCCTGCAGCCGAGTTCCAGGCCTGTCTGCCTGCATACACCGCCACACATGAACTCTCTTTCAAGGCAAGGAGGCAAGTTGATTGTGGGCTTGGTCTCCTTCTTCCCAGGTCTCCCAGTTGCCCATCCCCACATCTGGATCCTGGGAGGAAGGAGGAGGAAGAGAAGAATTGCAGTGCATCCCAGAGCGTGCCTGCAGCCAAGCTCCAGGCATGCCTGCCTGCACACCCTAATACACACACATTCTCTTTCCAAGGCAAGGAGGCAAGTTCAGAAATAATCAAAAGCAGACTGTAGGCAAGCTTTCATGTTGAGCAGATTTTTGTGTGGGGATGGTGCTTCCCATTTTGAGCTTCTGAATAAATGGAAGACATAAAAGAAATTGTAGAAACAGTAGGAACAATTTTGTGCACATATCTAAATTACAACACAAGTAGAGGTGAACAAGATGTAAGAGTGAAAAGAGCTCGTTGAACTTATTTTTAAAACAGGTTGATAATCCTTTACTTGGAAGTTTGGGGCAAGATGTTGGCATCTGTGTGAAATGGTGGGAATCCCAGGCTAATGCTCAGTGCAAATCCACACCTCCTGCCATTTCACAGATTCTTGTGTCTCTCTTCAGCCTCACAACTCACCCATCACTACTTGTATTAGGCATGGGACCCACAGTTGGAGAGAGACAGAGGATCTGAGAGACTGAGAATATAAAGTAGCTGATGTGGGTTTGCAGATCCAGTGAATTCTGTGAAGGAGATCTCTGAGGAATCCACCATTCTCTTACTTCTGCCTTTGAATGAGAAGAAGCCCTAAAAACACTGACTTTCTGATAGACCATAACATTTTCTTGGTGACTCCTGATATGCTAACACTTCAAAGAGACTGCAAAAGAAATGTTAACTTTCTTCTTCTACTATACAGGATGTTGACTGCAGTGAATATTGGCCTTATTTCTCACGTATGGGGTATTCCTGTACCAGAGAGAACAATCCAGTCCGGGATGCTTCTGGGAAACAACATAGCAATAAATGCATGATGTGCCTGCAGAGGTTGTGAGTAGACTATGTTTGCTTTTTTAAACCCTATCAGATCACTCTGCCACTAAATAAGATTTTAAAAAAGACTAAACTCCTCAAACTCTTTGCTTGCAGCAAAAATGGAGGAAAGATGAATGGTGTTGGAAAGCGACAACCACAAAATGGAAACAATGAGGTGAGAACACACATTATCCAGATTGTATTCTGCAATTAAGTTCCTGCTTTTCTTGCTCAAGGCAAGCAAAAAGGAAAAGATGCGGCTCATCCCAAAGATATTCTAACTATTATTAGCTTGCTAGATTAAAGGAATGCTGTGGTTATAACATATCTAATTTCAGTAATGCCTTTTACAAGGTTTGCCATGACATTCTCACAAAGAAGCTAATAAAATGTGGGCTAGACAGTGCTGTTACTGTTAAGTGAATTGGAAATTGGCTGACTGGCCAAATTCAAAGGAGGTTTACTAGCAAAATGTGGATTGCCATCTGTCGGTGCTTTGATTGTGTTTCCCTGCATGGCAGGAGGCTAGACTAGATTTCCATTGTGGCCTCTTCCAATTCTATGGTCTGTGATTCTATGAGTTTTACATAGATGAGATCATCTAATACCCTGTTGAAGCCTTTCAGTCCTTTCCCATTTATGGGGGCTCTGAGGTGTTCTTGGCAAGGTTTGTTCAAAATGGTGAGAGAATACAACTTGCCCAAGGTTTCCTTGGCTGAGTGGTAATTTGAACTCCAACCTTCCAGTGGCCTAGTTACACTCAAATCACAGAATCATATTGGCTCTACTTGTGTCCCTCATATGTTTAAATATGTAATTTGATTGTAGAAACATTACTTGATGGGTGCATCAGTCCTCCCTCCATAAAAATGATGGCACCCATCTCTATATCTTGTTTCGCCCCTATGTAAAGTGATATAACTGAATTTGCTTTTAATATAACATTGAATGTTTACTGCACCCAGTATTTTAATCACTGGCTTAGTCTTTATGAAGGACCTTACTAGGCCAGCTTGTGGACCACATTCATGCCTCACATCCAGCTAGGTAGCTAATGCTATGTTTCTATCTGCCTGATTGTTTGCTTGGAAAGTCAGTGTGAGTACTGGATTAGGACTCTTGGTGAATCAAATCCTGCTCAGCCATGGAAACCCACTTTAGTGACCTCGGAAAAGTCTCACTCTCTCAGCCTCAGAGAAGGCAGTGCTAAAAAAATCTTGTGATCATTTGTCATGAGTGAGCAATGACTTGAGAGTACATAGCAGCAACTTGAAAGCATATATATATAACATATACACTAAAATAAAACAAAACTAAACAAAACAAGAATTCCATAAGACTTAGCTCACTGCTATAATACAATAAAAGTAAACAAGCTCAGTGCATATTTTTAATGAGAAAATGCGTTCCCCTCAACATCATTAAGACTAAAAATGGATGACACTTAGTTATTACATATTATGCTTCCCGTCCTTCCATCAAGACCCACCCCCTTCCTCCAAGACAGAAATTATCTTCCTGAGAGCTGCCTGTCAAGTCTTCTTCATTACAAAGATGAAACAGTCTTCAGACCATTTGGTAGGCTGTAAAAAGTCTGTAAGGTGAGTCTACTTCAGAATGAGAATGAATGAAATTAGCAAACTTCACCTTGCATCCACCTGCATTGAAACATTACCAACGGAAGTGTTCTGTTGTGTATTATTAAGAAATTGATACACGATATTAAGAAATTGATACAAGAATTGACATTATTAAGAAATTGATACAACCTCTGAGGATGCTTGCCACAGATACAGGCAAAATGTCAGGAGAGAATGCTTCTAGAACATAGCCATACAGCCTGAAAAACCTACAACAACCCAATGTTTCCAGTCATGAAAGTCTTTGACAATAAATTGATACAAGGATTGAAAGAGACTCTCTGATATGTTTGATGTAAATTGACCAATGTCCACAATTCTTTTCCTATCAATTACTTTTTAAAACTCCCACAAATCTGTAAGAAAGCAAACTTGATGTATTTGTGTGTCCAAACCCAGGTTGTGGTTATTTTTTTAAGTTTCCGTTTTGAATTCTTGTGTCTTCTATCATAATAAAATGTATCCTATTGAATCATGAGGTTTGTAGTTTGAGAAGGTACTAGAACAGTTATCTGACTGAGTATTTTAAATACCCCCCCTCCCCACACTACAGATGGGGCCTAAAACACTAAAGGCTCCAGATCGTATCTGAACTTAGAAAATCTAAGCACAATCAGCCCTGGATGGGAGACCATCAACCAGGTGCTGTAGACTCTATTCTAGGGGAATGGACCAGCAAGACTACCACTGAGTGTTTCTTGCCTATGAAGTTTATGGGGATGAAATTATATGAAAGATGATTTGAAGGCACATAAACATAAATGGCCAATCCCATGATTCTATAGGATATTACAATGATAACTGTGTAATGTGGCCAGGTTCTGTTCTACTTTTTTCTTCTTGAGATGCTTGCTGAAGGTATAGTCTGTGCAGATATATCATGCTCACCTCCATAGTGCAAATAAATATACATTTTGTATGTGGTCAGTGCAAATAGAAGAGATATTGGATTCAGTTTGCCTTTGAAAGGTTAACCAATTATGGCAACATTTCTTCTTATACAGGATAGCGTAGACTTGATTTAAAAAAAAACAGTGTGAGAAGAAGTGAAACTATCATTTTGCACATCCTTATTTATGATTTTGTTGTCTGCGCTTTGTTCCTTTGTTTCCCCCTTACTTGCTTTTTATTGCAAATCTGACAATTGTCAGTCTGTATCATAACATAGATACATGCTTTATATATTCCATATTTACATGTGTTTTCCCTGAATTGTTTTAGGGGTGTCTGCCTAATGCTTGTGTGTCTGATGCAATGTGATCTAGGCGAGTTGACAGTATTTTAATTCTTGTTAGGAAACATGGGGGAGATAACTGTTTCATCACTTGGTTCAATTGTAGGCTTGAATTTCCCTGCCAAAGAATGATAATTAGATTGGCCACAGGAAACACCCAGCATTGTTTCTAAGATAGAGGCACCCAAGTTTCCCTTGAATAGTATGTCTGGTGAAGATGACGTGGTGATAAGTGGTGGCACTGCTGACTCCGTCACATTTTGGCACAAGGTGTAGGTGTCTGTATCGAACACCTTAACAAACTCTGTTTCTCTTCTGCCTAGAGAGGTGGTGATGACTGCTATGAATACAGGTCGCAGATGGGGCCTGATGGAGAGCTCAGCTGCACCCGTGAGAATGACCCTGTAAGAGATGCTTCGGGAAATACACACAGCAACAAGTGCATCATGTGCGCAAGGAAATTGTGAGTCTTCAGACCAATGGATAGTGAAACCATGTTCTTGGGAGGAGTGAAAATATATACTCACTTTCACAGCCCAATATGCTGTGAGTTCACAGCACACTTGAGTTCACTGTATTAACCAAGGACTTTTATATATACATTGAAATATATGAAAACATGCAAAATATACAGCATGCAACGAAACACTATTACAGATTATAACAAAAAATGTTACAGACAATAAAGCATGAGAATGTCAAAACTTAGTGCCAACTCTATAGCACAAGGGGATGATGTGTTCCAAAATTTACCTTTGAAACAGAAAAATGTGGATTATAGTGAATGCCACAGAAATGAAAACTTCCACCAGAAGTTAACATTCAGTCAATCTGGAGGACCTAGAACATTTCTAGAGATGTATCTTCTCTAGGAATTTGTTAGATCTTCCAGGGAAAATCTATGGTAACTTCTAGTGGAAGCATGTTGTACAATCACCCGGAGGACTTTCACCTGACATCATCATTTGCTCTTTCCCATTTATTCCATTGACAGCTACATCAAACAACTCAACAACTTCACAGTCCTAAAAAAAAATAGTCTGTTCATTCATGTCATATTAGATTAATGAGACGGATGCTCACTTCCTAACCAGAACATGGACATTATTTTGTCTCTTTTCTTTCCATTTTTGTTTTTTCATTGATTTGTGGTTGCCCCACCCCATTTTTCATTCTACCACTGAGCATTCAAGTTCTAATAAGTACCAAAACAAAAGAGCACATGTTTCAAATACCAGTCCCTTATGCTTTTTTTTTCTATATCTCATACTTTCCAGTAAAAAAGAAATGAGAGAAGGCAGGTTTGATGGAGGAGAAGGAGGTGGCAGAGGAGGAACAAGCAATGCAAATGGAGAAAGAGTGACTCAAGGGACTCTGAGTCGAGCAAATTCAAATGAGGTAGGACCGAAGGTCCAAAGAGTTGCTACCTGTCCATTTTGTCAGGAATTAGTTCTTCTACTAAAATGGTGGTCATAATAACAATAACAATTTTATCCACTTCTCCCTATGAATCAAGGTAGGGAACAACAAACAGACTGAAATCCAACAAAATTAGAGACTACTTACATGCCCATTGTCAGGAATGCTGGTACTGTCTCAGAATTTGTAGAAGGAGAAGAGAGCATTGTATATGGGGAGAGAAAAAAACCAAAACAAAACCATGGAATGTATTCCTTCATTGTCCCTCATATCCCACCAGAAAAGTAATATTAGAGATCCCTTGTCATAGAATAATATTTATTAAACCAGCAATGCAATTATGCTCTCTTTTTATTATGCAAATGACTTTGTCATAAGTGAGCAACTTGTAAAAAGAAAACTGCATAGGAGCTCTCATTAGTGGATAAATCACGTGATTATCTTTTTATGCATGTCATTGCCCTGAGAACTGGGTAGCTAAATGGACACATTCTAAGCTGTGAGAACATGACATTTCCAACATCAAGGGGAAACTGCTGACTGAATTAATTATGGAATTTAGGGATCAAGGACCTAATGCCTGCTTTAAGGGTTGGGGGATGCCAAAGAATCCTGATATAAAGATAGTCTTGTTCTCCTATATTAATTTGTTGTTATATTCAACATACATTATTTACTGGATAAACGTGAAGGTGTATCACATTATACTAGGAAAGGTTTAGAGTATTTTGTTTCCAGAGAAGCAATAAATACAGCCCATGGCCATACATATGATGCTGATTGGGATCCATGGGATGTCATAGCATCAAAGGGAAAGTCTCCACTTGCAGATAGTTAAAAAAGTTAAACCCATGTTTCTTTTCCACTTCCAGAATAATTGCAACCAATATGGAAATGATCCAAACAATCCTTGTTCAGTGAATGACCGGATTGCACAGGGTGATTACAGATCATACACCAACTGTGGAGGGTGAGTATGTGCTATATAAAAAACTCATCATGCAAACTATAGGAAAGGAGATTCCACCTAAGCATTAAAAACCTTTCTAACAGTAAGAGTTTTTTGGTAGTGAAATATGTTGCATTGGAGTGTGACAGAGTCTCCTTCTCCAAGGATGTATAAACTTAAGCTGGATGGCTAGTTTGTGTGTTCCTGTGTGGCAAAATGGGGTTGGACTGCACGGCCCTTACAATCTCTAGCACTTTATGATTTTTTAATTTTATTACTCCATGATTCTATAACAACAGCAACAATAATAATAACAATTATTATTATTATTATTACAAGAAAACTGCACTCCAAACCAGAGCTGACAGCTGGCACAACAAAGCCTTACATGGGCAGTTCCTTGAGAAGATTGAAGGCAAAGTTGACAAGGAGAAGACCTGGTTATGGCTCATGAATGGAACCCTGAAGAAGGAGACAGAAGGCCTGATTCTTGCAGCCCAGGAGCAAGCCATCAGAACCAATGCAATTAAGGCCAGGATTGAAAAATCAGCTGATGACCCAAAATGCAGACTGTGCAAGAAAGCTGATGAAACCATGGATCATATCCTCAGCTGTTGCAAGAAAATCGCACAGACGGACTACAGACAAAGACACAACTCTGTGGCCCAGATTATTCACTGGAACTTATGTCACAAGTACCACCTGCCAGCAGTAAAGAATTGGAGGGATAATAAACCCTCAAAGGTCATGGAAAATGAACATACAAAAATACTGTGGGACTTTCGAATCCAAACTGACAAAGTTTTGGAACAAAATACACCAGACATCTTGGTTATGGAAAAGAAAAAAGTCTGGATTATTGATGTCGCCATACCAGGTGACAGTCGCATTGAAGAAAAACAACAGAAAAAACTCAGCTGCTATCAAGACCTCAAAATTGAACTGCAAAGGCTCTGGCATAAACCAGTACAGGTGGTCTCAGTGGTCATTGGCGCACTGGGTGCCATGCCAAAAGAGCTCAGCCAGCATTTGGAAACAATAAACATTGACAAAATCACAATCTGTCAACTGCAAAAGGCCACCTCACTTGGATTTTTTCTTTACTGTAATTGTTGTTTGGGCTTGGCCTCATGTAAGCCGCTCCGAGTCCCCATTGGGGAGATGGTGGCGGGGTATAAATAAAGTTGTTTATTAGTATTATTATTATTATCTGTGCGCATCATTCGAAAATACTTCACACAGTCCTAGACACTTGGGAAGTGTTCGACTTGTGATTTTGTGATACGAAATCCAGCATATAGATCACGTTTGCTGTGACATACTGTGCTTTTGTGTCAATAATAATAATAATAATAATAATAATAATAATAATAATAAACAAAGACTCTGGCACAAGCCAGTAAAGGTGGTCCCAGTAGTGATTGGCACACTGGGTACAGTGCCTAAAGACCTTGGCCTGCACTTAAACACAATCAGCGCTGACAAGGTTACCATCTGCCAGCTGCAGAAGGTCACCTTACTGGGATCTGCACACATTATTTGCCGATACATCACACAGTTCAAGACACTTGGGAAGTGTTTGATGTGTGATCCAATACAACAGCCAGCAGAGTGATCTTGTCTGCTGTGGACTCATCTTGTTGTGATTCAAATAATAAACAATATTATTTATAGAGGGAACTCAGGATGGTTTACACACAAAAAAGACAAACATTCAATGCCCTAAAACAAATACAAACACCTCAGAATAATACAAATAATACAAATACAAACACCCCAGAATAATACAAATAATACAAAATAATGACAATATACTTATAATAAAAAGAATGAAGGGATCAAGGTGTAACCTATTGGTATCCCTTACATGAATTTCATCAATCTTCCCTATGCAAATTTCAGCCAAAACATAACAGGCCTACACAAAGTTAGCCATTTGTAACTTATGCCTTAGGCAGCATAGGTATTTGGAAATGGGAATGTAATGCCATAATTATGCTGGTGATCCATGTTTCTACTTGTTCAAGAATCCGATCCAACTAGTGTTTCAAACTGGCATTTTTAGACATTGGTTTCAAGGTAGGCTTTGAAAACAATCATTGGGTAATTGAAATTGAGCATATTCCAAGTGAATCCATAGAAGACTGAAACACTGAGCATTGGTCATCACTGGTCCTAGAAATTAATAAACCATTACAATCTGATGATAGATATTGCTCTTTGTTTCTGGATACAGTCCATGGAAATCATATGATTCTCAATTTGAAGTTAATATTCTAGTCCCTAATGGAGAGAAATACATTCTGTCTGACAAAAGCTTTTCCTAAATAAATGTGATTTGGTGACAACCATCATATGTGCTTTTGTCATTTTAAGTCTCAACTCAACTACTGTAAAGCATTTGATGTGGAACTCTCTTTGAAAACAGTTAGTAGCTCTAGCTCAGACATAGGCAAACTAAGGCCAGGGGGCTGGATGTGGCCCTGTGGGTGCTAACCTCAGGCCTTCCTTCTTTTGCTTGTCCTCTTGGCTCACCACATACTTATGCCAAAAAGATGAGGGAGGGAGGTATGCAGCAGCTGAGAGCCCTCAGGAGCACTCTCAGCCACTACGTGCCTCGTTGTTCTCCTGGCATAATGCCAAGAGGACAGCACAAGGATCAGGGAAGGAGGATTGGGGCAGTTGCCACATCTCTTGCCTTTCTCTCAACATAAGGATGGGGTGAGCAACCCCATCCTTATGCCAGAACAACCTGAGGATAACTGCTGCCCTGCCCTTTCCCTCCTGGCCAGGCCTGTAATGCAGCCCCAAGGCAAAGAAGTTTGCCCATGCATGTTCTAGCAGGTACCAAAAATTATGGTCCCTCTTCTTGTGGAAAGTGGTCACCAGGATAACATGAGACATTCTTAGAAACACCTGTCACAGTCTGCTTCACAGATCTCCTCTCCATATGAATGTCCCCAGTGGCATATAGATTATGTTATTTTTCTTGACTACTGAAATCATTTATGTCCTTTGTTCTAAAATCCAAAACAAAAAAAATCATGAGGCAAGAAAAAAGAGGAATATGTATTTTAGGTACCACTGGAAAAAAATTTCTCCTTCCAAAACATGGGACAACTTTATGTATTCCATGCTGGGAAATAAGATTCTCTACTGAGAATTGTGGGGCTAGAAGGAACAGTTTCTGAGGTTTAGACCAACAGAAATAGTTTTGCAAATACTTTCTTAGTGCATTTTGAAGCTGGGTTTCTTTGGTTTCATTTAAATTGTATAACTGCACAATTACATCATTTTAAGGTTGGTTTAGAAATAAGTTTTTGAATCCCAGAATAATGCCTGGTCAATAAGGGTTCCGCTGGAGCAAAAGGCAACAAAGATCAGCCTGACATTCAACATAGCAGGCAATGTTCACAGTTCTAAAATGGTGCCAAAATGTCTGACCAGGGAGGGCTTTATATGGACAAGACAGAAGCTGAAGTTATGCTGGCTACAGATAATCTTTTATTGATAAGGTAAATGCATGTACATTTTTCTTCTAGGATAGGAGCATCAACGTACCACAATGACAATTGCCAAAAAGGACGTTTCAACAACAGACAGAAAAGACAGGCAGCCAGCGACCATAAGGTGAAATTCTTTCTTAATGCAGGCAGTTCCCAACAGGGCCGTAGCCAGAAAAAAATTTCGGGGGGGGGGGGGGGGGGGGTTGAAAATTTTGGGGGGGGGTTTGAAAATTTCGGGGAGGGTTGAAAATTTCAGGGGGGGGTTGAAACCTGCCTCCTAGCTCACGCTGAAGCAAAGAGCAGAGCAGGGGGCAGAGCAACCTTCAATAGCCTGCAGCTCCACCCCTGTCAACCACCTCCACCAAGTCTGGCTTCCTTAATGAGAGCATTCAACACACACATACTCCCAACTTGGTTGCTTCACTACATCGGCTATTGCTGCAAGTAATGACAGTGTGAATAAATTGTCAATATTTGCTTGAGATAGTGCTTACAGTTCTGGAGGGACTCTTAATTTTTTGCATCTCATAGACTTAGCATGGGGATTTGGTTAACCAGTTAAAATTCATGAGTAAACCAGGTTTTTTTTTTTAAAAAAAAACTGAAACATTTCGGGGGGGGTTTGAACCCCTAAAACCACCCCCTCGCTACAGGCCTGGTTCCCAAGTTACAAACAAGATAGGTTCTGTAGGTTTGTTCTTAAGTTGAATTTGTTTGTAGGTTGGAACAGGTACATTTTTGAAGTATAACTCTAGCCAAATTTTCCCCATGATAACATGAGTGGATTTTCTTCCTAGGGAAAGATTTCTCACTTCATTTTGTCTCACCCCTGTTCTGACATTCACCGGGGAGCCCCCGGTGGCGCAGTGGGTTAAACCCCTGTGCCGGCAGGGCTGAAGACCAACAGGTCACAGGTTCGAATCCTGGGAGAGGCGGATGAGCTCCCTCTATCATCTCCATCTCCTCATGCGGGGACATGAGAGAAGCCTCCCACAAGGATGATAAAAACATCAAAATCATCCGGGCGTCTCCTGGGCAACATCCTTGCAGACGGCCAATTCTCTCACTCCAGAAGAGACTTGCAGTTTCTCAAGTCACTCCTGACACGACAAAAAAAACCCCAAAAAACTTAACTATGAGTCATTTGTAAGTCCGATGTTTGTAACTTGGAGATTGCCTGTCCAAGAATGGAGCAAATATTTGTTACAAGACAAGAGAGGGCAACTTATTTCAATACTACCATGAAATAGGGTAGATACATGGCTTAGTAAACTAACATTAAGTTATTTTAAGTCAATGAGGCAAGTCTATATAGAGTCCAGAACAGGGTTCCAAATATGCATTCCACACCATGAAATGTCAAATACAAATAATATTTTGGAAAAAATGGGGCTGAGTTTAGTGCACCATCCTTTCTAGGCTGAAAGTGTGCTTCACATACGCTACTGCTATAGGATATATGTGCCCTCTGAGGTGTTATATTTGACTTCTTTAATTCATTTTACCCTGCTTGTATGATGTTTCCAATACATAGCATGGTGCTTGTATATATTAGTTAACTGTATGCAGAAAAATGACCTACAGCAGGTATCATCACTGCTGTGATAACATTACAAAGCCTGGTTTCAGACTTTGGTGCCATATGTGCACTCTGTCCTTTTTAAAAACTGGCATGTCCGGTTTGGCGGGATCAGACTACAAAATTCCAAGGCACTTTTGGCAGCTTTATGGAGAAGGAATGCCACTATGTGAGGTGATCACTACACCTGACAACATATGCAAACAGACTGAGAATGATTCACACAGATGCTTTGTACACTTACAACAGGCTTGCACCACATGATATTGTACTATGGCTGTATGATTTTTCACCAATGCTTTGTATGGAAATGAACAGTAAAAATACTCCTTTCTGCCCTTGGCCATTTAGATATCCAGAGGTGGAAATAAAGAATGCTAACTGCTGGTTGTTGAATGAAATACTGCCCTCCAGTGCCTGGAAGTGAAGCACCTATTTAGCTATCAAATAGATTCATTGTAAGGAAAACACAGCTCATAACATGGTGCCTGTTGCCAGATATAAGAACGTTGCCTTATATTGATGTAAGCCAGGCCTGCACAACTTGGCAGTAGTAATGGGCCAAAATTAAATTGCAAACCTCTTTGGTTCGTGAGAGGGTAACTTTCTCTCAGAGTAAACAACAAAGCAGAATAGTCTCGTTTTCCCCGTTTCTCATCAGCATGATGGCAGGTTGTAGTTCTTTCTGAGGGGAAAGAACAAGTGCCTCAGCAACCCAGAGGTGAAGAAAAAGGAAGAGCAGTATAACAGGGTTTCTCCCTCACAAGCAAATAGTGTGGAATCAGCAGTTTTGCCACCAGAGGAGGAGACAACAGTCAAAGAGAAAGGAAGAGTGACAGAGGCAAGAATGGAGGTCCTTCTTTCCTGACCCTCTAAAACGTCCAATTTAATGTCAAATTTCAACATAACCCAGGATTCCAACTCCCATGAATAGAGGTCCCTTATGCCTTGAAGTTTCATTCCTCTTTCCCACTACGCAAAGCTGAGTCCAACAACATCTCCAGGTCACATTTCCACTTGAAACCAGCCCTTCCAGAGTCCTGATTGGATCTATCAATGGTGTCCCCTTTTTCACTGGTTGGTTGAGCAACTTTGGTGCATACAGAAAGGAAACATGGACCTATCAATGGTGTCCCCCTTTTCACTGGTTAGTTGAGCAACTTTGGTGTATACAGAAAGGAAGCAGTTGGAGGAGGGAATGACAGATTCCCATGGCTACTGCTTTAATGCTGCATGTGACCTCCCACTCTAGGGCTTAGGCTCAGAGCCTCTGAGGACCACACCAAAGTCATATGAGGGCTGCCTCCGACCTCAGGCCTCATGTTGTGTGAGCCTGGTGTAGGTGTATAAAGCATCTGCATGAGTCATTCTCAGTCTGTTTGCATATGTAGTCAGGTGTAGTGATCACTTCATATAGTGACATTTTAAACATTATTTGGCTATCAAGTGGAGGTGGGCAACATGTGGCTTTCCATATTCTGGACTGCAGCACACATAATCTCTACCCAGTGATGTCAGAGGTGAGAGGTAATGGGAGCTACAGCCCAACAACATCTGGGGAGCCATATTTTCCTCATCCCTGAGTGGGATAACCATGTGAATCCCTCATTTTGATAAAATGAGTCAAAGAATTCAAAGACCTAGTCATGTTAGGACCTTATCACACGTCTCCCCTCCCCCCCCCCATGCCGTTTTGCAAGCAAGCATAGCAAAACCATAAGTGTGCAGGGCTCTGTCGCCCTGCACACTGCTCCATTGTGGTGACACTTCCCCCAGCGTTGCTCAACCAAGACAGAAGGGTGCTGAATCCATTGGAGCCAGCACAACACGGAGGCCTTCTCATGTTGATGAGGAAGCGTCTTAGGACATTTCCACACTGGTTGAGAGCTGGACCTCTGCCGAAAGTTGAGGTACATCATGTGATGGACTGTGTGCCAATCTGTCCTTCAGTTTGCTGACAAGCATGCTAGAATACTTAAATTGGTCAGTGCAATGAAGTCCTTAATCTGGTTCATCATTATGTGAAGGGATCTTGTAGCACTTTGGAAATTGAGAGAATAAATTTTGGTAGCATAAGCTTTGGTAGATTACTTCATGAGATGCATTTGAGGGTCTACGACAGCTGATCTTACCAATTTTATTTTCTCAGTCCCAAAAGTACTACAAGATCCCTTTGCATATTGACTCAGGAAGGTAAGGATTCTATTTTGAAGAATGAATAAGATTAGTGATTGAACTGATTCACTTGCCATGAGTCAAGAGTTGTTCTAGAATGGGTTTTTGTACTTCCAGGTACCTGTGCCTAAGCCAACATGTGCAAATATCAGCAGTCCCCAAGTTACAAACATCCAATTTACAAATGATTCTTAGTTAAGAACAGAGTTGAGACAACACGAAGTGAGAGAAATCTACCCCTATGGAGGGAAAATCAGTCCTGAAAGAGTTATCATGGGGAAAAGGTGTCTCAACCGAAGCTTTATTACCAAGCCTTGTTTCCACAACAAGCCAAATTTTTCAAAATCCAATTATCACAAGGACAGAAAGCAAGGTGGAACCTTCTGAGCAGGGATACAGACAGCAAAAGGAATGCCACAGGGGTTTTAACCCTTTCCAATGCTATCCAAGTGGTCTCTCTCTCTCTCTCTCTCTCTCTCTCTCTCTATATATATATATATATGGCTGGAGCTACACTTAAAATTTACCTGTTCGAATTTACATACAAATTCAACTTAAGAACAAGCCTACAGATGCTATTTTGTCATAACTTAGGAACTGCCTATATAGGCATTTTTACTAATGCAGGAACTGCACTTCAGATCAATGACACATTTATCTATTATGTGTTTATCTAAACCTATATTGTATTGCTTCCGGATGACTGAATTATAATTAATTTGAAAAAGCCACATGACCAGAACAATGAAAAAAATGTCCAGTATTATATATGAAACTAGAAAGAAGGCAGTCTACATTGTTGTCTACAGAATTACAGTAATTACATATGACTCTTCATATAAATATCATTCTCTACCAGTTTAACCAACTGGCTAATGAACCAGAATGTTAAACCAGTCAAATCAGAAAAGGATTTTGGTGGTGGTTTTAAATATATATTTTGCATAGTGAATGGCCTTTGACCTATTTAGTGTAGCCACTGAATATAAAGAATAATATAGGCATAGCATAGTTACTCAGAAATGCTTCTCTATGATTGTGCCCTCACACTGGAATGCTGTCTCCCAATAGATTTTTCTGTTAGTAGCAGCTAGTAATCTCATGTCAGTTTGAGAGTGAATATTCTCTAATTTTTTCTCTGAATCTTAAAGGGGCTGCTAAAGGTACTGAACCTAAGGTATTTAAAATGCACTCTGGATAGCTCCGGCAGCAACTGGACTAAAGTAGAGAGGAGATTCATCATTTCAGTCATGGCAGCCTGTAGCTCAATGGTTCTCAACCTGTAGGTCCCCAAATGTTTTGGCCTTCAACTCCCAGAAATCCTAACAGCTGTTAAACTGGCTGGGATTTCTGGGAGATGTAGGCCAAAACACCTGGGGACTCAGGTTGAGAACCACTGTTCTAACTGCTACTGTGCCTGGACCAACTTCAAAAACATTCCCAATATCAGGCAAGGACTCTGCTTCTTGTTATTTTGTGCCTTCAAGATGTTTCCAATCTATGATAACTCTAAGGATCTAGGAGTTTTCTTGCCAAGATTTATTCAGAAGAAGTTTGCCATTGTCTTCTGATGAAGCTGAGGGAAGGTGATTTGCTCCAGATCACCCAGTGGGTTTCATGGCCAAGTGGGGATTCAACCCTTGGCCTCCATAGTTGTAGATCAATGTTCAAACCACTACCCCATGCTGACTCCTTGAGTTAATGAGTCAGACATTTTTAGTGATGAAATGCTGCTACAATCAATTCTTGTTGCTGGATGTTTTTATTGGCTATTGTTCTTTTATTGTATGTTTGTTGACTGTTTAAATGTAACCTTTTAGTGTTATTAAAAAACATTTCCTTGAGAAGATTAGAAGAAGTAAATGAATAAAAGAATTCCTATTCCATTTCTGTATTGCTTGTACCATGTATCACTCAGACTCCCCGGGGGTGAGGTGGAGGGTTAGAAACTCATAGTGAAAATGATCAAAGTGGTGAACAGAAATGGCCAAGTGGGATACTGAGTAAGTCCCTGTATCTGTGGGGTCAGTACTCATGGTTTCCCCCTACATGTATCTGACAAAATATGCCTTCTCTAGGAATTTTACAGATGATTCTATTGTATGCTTCCATCAGAAGTTACAGTACAGTCGTGTTGGGAGATCTAGTGAAATCTTAGAGAAAATACCTCTCCAGGAATTTTCAACATCTTCCAGGGAGACTCTATGATAACCTCTGGTGAAAGCCATTCATTTCAGTATAGTTTGCTGTTTTCTATGTTTATGTTTGTTTTTTACAGTAAGTTTGGGAATGTATCTCCTGCAAATGTGGAGGCCAAACTTTATAAGCTGTGAACTGATAAGATAGGTGGTTTTTGCATGAATTCAAATCCTAAACACTTAATTAGGTCCCACTGAATACTAAGTTCCATCATATCTGTGTGACCTACAGTGTGTGGATTTTGCGATTCAGTTGCCTCAGGAATAAGGATCGCTGAGTTTGTGGGTCTGATTCTCTAATGGATTTATTACTTGTTTGCCAACAAGTGTCCTCAGCTTGAGCTACAATTACAGTATACTACAAGAAAACAAACAACAGCAACTATTGGTGTTATGTGCTTTTAAGTTGTTTCTAAGAAATTGTGACCTATGGGGGTTTCTTGGCAAAAAAAAATATTCAGAGGAGGTTTGCCATGGTCTTTATCTGAGGCATAAGAACGGTGACTTGCCTAAGGTTACACAGTGAGTCTCTATGGTCAAGTGGGGATTTAAACTTCCAGAGTGATAGCTCAGACCACTATACCATGCTGGCTTCCCTTGTTGTAATCCTTGTAGATTTAAAGCAAAAGGGGGGAATTAACATAAAGCAACACCAGAATTATGGAAATATTTTGATAGCACATCTAACAGGCCTTATTTCCTGTATTCATCTGAAAGAATTTGGAATGTGATCTACATCTTAAATGAAGCCAAAAATTCAAAACAAAAAAAAGCCATCTAGAGATAGCCACCAATCTGACAAGCAGGGTGTTTGTTGGCAGATCTCAAAAAATGAGGAAGGAAACAAGGTAGAGGTTGCAGTTTATCAGAGACTGCAACCTTGTTTCACAATAAGTTTTTGGATTAGCCAATTTATTAGTTAATGTGTGGATATTTATTAGGGACACATGGCATTAGGTTGACATGATAGATTTACCTAAATTGGGATGTACTCAACCACTACCAGGAAACGGACCTCAGTGTATTTGCTTAGGTTCTTGCTCTTAAACCTTCCCCTTCTTCAGATCAATAATAAATAAAAATGAATTTGAACTTTCTCAATGTTCATTTTCAGTTGAAGCCATTAGCAAGAATTGAGGCCATTAGCAAGAATCAATCTCTTTCCAGTTATATTTAGTTTCTGTCTTTTCAATCAGGTAAAAAAAATATCTTTACTCTTGTTTTTCTCATTTCAGTTGGATTGCAGTAAACTTCTGGCTACTCAAATGAATAGGACTTCCTGTAGTGCCATTTGGGCTCCTGTTTGTGGCAATGATGGAAAAACCTACAGCAATAAATGTTTCCTGTGTCTGGAGATTGGGTGAGTATAAATGATAGCCTTTGGTCTGACCTGACATATGATGGCCTTCACTGTGGAATACTAATTATGTATACATCATTGCAGGCTAGCCAACATCTTGATTTGCTATGATAAACACATAGGTCAGAAGGAACCTAATTAAATAGGTGACATAATAATCCAGCATAATATTGTTGTATTTATGAGTTCCACCCCTTCCTCTAGGAACTCCAGGCATGTCGAATAACAGCCCAAGCAAGGATTCCTTTACAAGAAGGACAATTCCTGATAACTGTAGGGTGTCTTGAAAGGCATGCATTAAAATGTTGTGAGGCAAAACCATGACAGTCAGAATTGCAATGCCTTGCCCTGTCGTTTGATCAAGAATGTATTCTCAGTAAATGTTTACGTACTTTAAGAAGCTCCTGTCAAGTGCATTAATTCTACAGTGTAAAACACAAGTCTACACCCTCAGATGCATCTGAGGAAGTAAACTAAATGTGTATCTACAATGTAGAATTGATACATTTTGAAACCACTTTAATTGGAATCATGGGGAATGTGATTTTAAAAGTATAGACAGTGTCCAAAATCCACAGACAGCGATACCTTTATTGGGCCAACCAAAAATGCATTGCATACATCATGCACGTTTTTGAAGTTCCACTGGATTTTTCATCAAACAAAGGTGTTAAAATCATTCAGGAGTAAAATAAATGATGATGTTGTAGTCACAGACATTTTGTCAAGGTATTGTTGTTATTTTCACTTAAGATGGTACAGAGTGATATCAATGAAAGCAAAGATTACTCCCCTCTTTGTTCACATAGGTACTGTGAGACAAAGGACTCATCACACTACAGCAGTAGTTCTCAATCTGTGCTCCTCCAGGTGTTTTGGACTTCAGCTCTCAGAAATCCCAGCCAGCTTACCAGCTGTTAGGAACTGTGGGAGCTGAAGTCCAAAATACCTGGAGGAGCACAGATTGAGAAAGTCTGCACTAGAGCATGGATCCACTTTAATCTTGTTGCTGCTTCTTGCAAAATTCTGGGGTTTGTAGTTTAGGGAGGGGGGCTTTAAAATGCTCAGCTAAAGAACTCCTGGACCTGACTAAACTACAAATCCCACAATTCTGCAGGATACAGCAACCAGATTTAGAATGGATCCATGTTCTAGCATAGTGCTTCTCAACCTGTGAGTCCCCAGGTGTTTTGGTCTACAGCTCCCAGAAATCCCAGACAGTTTACCAGCTGTTAGGATTTCTGGGAGTTGAAGGCCAAAACATCTGGGGACCCACAGGTTGAGAACCACTGCTCTAGTACAATGAGGCAGAAAGAGGTATAAAATCTAGGCAGTAACATTTCAACTCCATTAGCAACAAAAAAGTAATTTCCCTTAAGATTCAGGATGTTTCTGTCGTGGATGAGGCTACCCACCTCCTTCTTAGGCAGAGAACACTGAAGTTATTAAGAAGCTACTGTACTGCTGCATCTGGAAAAAAAACATATTAGTTGTTGCTTAGATAATGCCCAGTAATGTGTCAAGGGGTCCTTTCCTGTCAATGAGAAAATTTGCAAGTATTCTTTACTTTACTGCACCTCTGTACTTCAACTTTAGTATGACCAATCTGTATCTAGTGCATGTTTTCTCACACCTGATACATAGTCATTATTCTGTTATTTCTCAATAGCATTTCCTCATTTGAATGAGTCTTTGCTGTCTGGAGTAATAAAACCACAGGGCAGAAGGAGAAATGTCTCCAAGTGCCCAGTGCATGGCTGTTTTTGTTTTGGAAAAAAGCCTAATGCATTTTCACCTATCATGGTATAGTGATTTGAGTGTTGGACTATGACTGGAAACAAGGATTTAAATTGCTATTTAGCTATGAAAGCCCATAAGGTGACTTTGGCAAACAGCACTTTCAGGCCTAGAAAAACTCAGTGATAGGTGTGCCTTAGCATCACAAGAAGTCAGAAGCAACTTCAAGGTACACAAAAACAATAGAATTTAATGACCTCCAGAGGCACATAAAAAGAAAAACAAATTAAATTATTATAGGCTGAAATGTGCTGGGATTTTCTAAAATAAAAAAAATGCAATGGCCATCCACTGAGCACGTGAAGACATATTTCCTTTTCTGTGTGGATTCCATTGAATGTTTTCTGCTATTTTCCTGTTCTGCAATAAGGAAATGCCATTCAATATTCTACTCTTTGTAGGAAATCTGGAGATATCCTTTCACTAAAGCATGAAGGTGAATGTCCTGAAGTCGTTCATGGAATGGTGAGACTGTCTTTCATTTATAGCACCAGGGGTCTGGTTAAAATTATCCTGGAAAGTGGGCATAGGTTCTCAATGAGTTTGGAGTTTCATCCAATGAATTAGCTCTTCTTTCACTTATAAAGCACAGGGATAATTCAGTGGAAGACAGATGGAAAGCAAAAATATCATGATTTATTAATATATAATTGCAATACAACTGATTGTTACATAAATATCATCTACAAAAGTGCCATCCCCTGAATTCCTCTATATGGAAAGCCATTGAGTAAGAATCAAAGAATAGCATGTATGCATGGCACCAATGGATCATATCATTGGACGTTCATTTTCTAGTGGTGGTCTACACTTTCTTGATTCAACTTTGTGATTAGTTTGCAGGTTAAGGATATCTAATTGAAATTATATTTCAAAGATTATTCATAGTCAGACTCTCACAAATCATACATGTAATGCTGGACGAGAGACAGAAAAGCACAGCAGTATTACCCAAGTGTCCATGCCGGTAATTGAGCAACTGTCCCATTAGGTTGATTGCAGCAGGTATCCACAAACAAGAGGAAAGCTCCTTTGCAAGAGTACTACCCACGAGGTTTGTGGCACGGATGGTGAAACACACAGCAATGAGTGCATGCTTTGTAACAGAATCCTGTGAGTACACCTTTAAGATATTTGATCTCCACTCTCCTTGTCCAGCATTCCAGTCACTAGGCCATGCTGACTCTCCTATAAAACGAGCATGATAGCCTTCCCAACACAGATAATATTAGAACTGTATATTTGTTTTGCTCTATTTTCTCTCTTTCTTTTTATAGGAAAACAAAATCTCAAATTGGCATAAAGAATATAGGACCATGTCAAAAGGTTTGTTCTGCTCTGATATTACTGATTTATTACAATACTCACTACTTCATCACACTAGAGAATGAATCCACTTTAAATCTGGTTGCTGCCTCCTGCAGAATTCTGGGGTTTGTGGTTTAGGGAGGAGCCTTTAACAGCCTCACTAAACTACAAACCCCAGAATTCTTTAGGAGGCGGAAACCAGATTTAAAGTGGATTCATTCTCTAGTGTAATGAGCTATTCAGTCTACAATATATTACAATATTCACTCTAAGGGTGGCACTATTAGCTCATCACCTGCATGTTATCAAAGCCACAATCACTGAGATAATGGGAATATACAGTGAATGTCAGAAGGCAATAACAGGAGCTGATTGAGAGTGAGAAGGGACAGCTTAATTTGAATTAAGTCTACTATAGCACAACGACTGAATAATGAATCATGACGTACATTATTCATATCTTACTGATACAGTCAACTTATTCGGTAGTCATAGGTGAAGAATGGGCAACTGCTTGGGGGGTCAGGTAATAATTTTTCCACATACCTCCCTCATGCACAACAAGCTTAAATATCTCAGTTTTCTGCAGCTCTTCTCAAAACAGTCTGTAAATTTCTGTTGCAATTTTGAGAAGAACTGGAGAGGACAATGAGGTTTTGTTTTTTTTTGTTTGTTTGTTTTTGTTGTTTTTTTTTTGTCGTGTCAGGAGCAACCGCTCCTGTTGTGAGAGAATTGGCCGTCTGGAAGGACGTTGCCCAGGGGACGCCTGGATGATTTTTGATGTTTTATCATCCTTGTGGGAGGCTTCTCTCATGTCCCCGCATGAGGAGCTGGAGCTAATAGAGGGAGCTCATCCGCCTCTCTCCGGATTTGAACCTGCGACCTGTTGGTCTTCAGTCCTGCCGGGCCAGTGCTTTAACCCACTGCGCCACCAGGGGCTCTGACAATGAGGTATTTGGGTGTAACATAGGATTCTAGGGTATGTGCATGGGTAGTGTCTGGATATTTTCACATGTTTTCATGTATTTGGTGCCTTTCTGTGTTATTTGTAGGCAAAATTGCCAAAAAAGTGCATCATTTCTTTAAAAAAGATTGTTTTCAAGGTTTTAGGAAACTAGTAGAGAGCTTCAGGGATGGCTTAACAGCCAAGATCAAACAGGATCTGGTATTCCAGGCGGTATTTGTATGAAAATAGAAATAATCACATATTAGTAGTAGTAGTAGTAGTAGTAGTATAATTGTTTTATACTCTACATTTATCTTATAGCGGTATAATAACATTAGCCTGTTTTATTGTGATCTTTAGAAAGATGTTGTTGATTTTACATTCTGGTTCTAAATTATTTTTTCTTTCTCCAGATGGAGGAGCTGTTAATTCAGAATCAATGAAACTGCTGAATCTTTGAAGCGTTAGAGAGCTTGTCTTCATCCTACATTTATGGCACAAGTTTATTGTCTATAAAACCTGAGCAACAGGCCTGTATTGGACAGTGTGGAAGTGGGAAATAACCCAAGAAAATACATTTACTCTTGTAGTCATCTCCTTAGTACATTCTGACTACTTCCAGAACACCTTATCACATCCATAAATCACAATAAAAGTAATCCAATGAAAGGATTCCTATTGTTTGTTTTTGTTCATGTTTAAATATCAGAAGATTTTGTTTAAAATAGGTTTACTTCCTTTGTTTATCAGTAGGTTTATGAAAGTTAATTGAGAAGTCTTCTGATATTTGAATAGACACATTTCTTGAACTTATTCCAGTTTGCAACAAATGAACACATTTCATAACAGTATCATTCTGTACAAGGAAAATTGTATTACAAATATGTTATACAGCAGCTATATCTGATTTTTTTGTGTCAGGAGTGACTTGAGAAACTGCAAGTCACTTCTGGTGTGAGAGAATTGGCCATCTGCAAGAATGTTGTCCAAGAGACGCCTGGATGTTTTGATGTTTTACCACCCTTCTGGGAGGCTTCTCATGCAGGATTCACACCAACAGGATCACTTTTCTAGGGACCTACACACTACATTGCGCAAAAGGGGCCCTGCCAATCCTGAAAGTAAACAGGTCTTGGTAGTAGGTGACTCCCTCCTTAGAGGAACGGAAGCTGTCATTTCCAGACCGGATGGGATGGCTCGAGAAATATGCTGCCTACCGGGGGCAAAAATACACCATATCACTCAGAGGCTCACCAGGCTCCTCAAGCCCCATCACTTTCCTCCCCTCATGTTGATTAATGTAGAACCAATGATACTGCTAGGCATACTTTTCAAAAGATCATAAATGATTTTCGAGCTCTTGAAACAAAGCTTAAACAATGTAATGTACAGGTGGTCTTTTCATCCTTCCTCCCAGTTGTAAGACACAGTCCTACAAGGGCCAGAAAAATAGTACAGGAAACACTGAGCAGCATTCCGTGGACACAGATACTAAAAGACAAGGGAGTTACGGATGGATGGGAGTTTCTCAAGAGTGAAATACTCAAGGCGCAGTTGCAAACCGTGCCAACAAAAAGAAAAAATAGGACAAGTGCAAAGAAGCCAGAATGGATGTCCAAAGAACTTCTAACTGTGCTGAGACACAAAAGAGACATGCACAAGAAGTGGAAAAAGGGAGAAATCACCAAAGAAGAATTCAAACAAATAGCCATCACCTGTAGGGAAAAGGTCCACAAGGCTAAAGCACAAAACGAGCTCAGGCTTGCCAGGGACATTAAAAACAATAAAAAGGGATTCTTTTCTTATGTCAGTAGAAAAAGGAAAAACAAGGAGGCGATAGGGCCTCTTCGAGGAGAAGATGAGGCAATGCTGACAGGGGATAGGGAAAAGGCAGAACTACTTAATACCTTCTTTGCCTCGGTCTTCTCACAAAAAGAAAGTCATCTTCAACCTCAGCAAGACGGAGTGGATGAGGGATTTGAGGACATCCAACTCCAAATTGGGAAACAAGTCGTACAGGAATACCTGGCCGCTCTAAATGAGTTCAAGTCCCCAGGGCCAGATCACCTACACCCAAGAGTGTTGAAGGAATCCCTGTTGTAAGGACACCTAGCTAAATATTGTTGCAGAGTTCCAAGAAACTGTGAACTGTGCAAAGACGGGGTTATCAATAATACCTAAGTTTATTGTTGTGTCAATTTGTACCCCGAACTGCCTTTACATTCTTAGGGGAATGGGAACAGCTTCACAGAGTTTTAAAAGGAGAATATTCAGTTAGTCCTCAATTGTATAGCCCATTCTTTTCTTCTGGCTACATCTACACTAATAAGTAAATCCAGGGTAATTCTGAAGGAAAAATGCTCCAGGCTGGCTTTGGAGGTGATCACACACAACCTCCCAGACCTTGGGCAAATTGGAGTCCATATGGTCCATATATGGTCCATATGACCAAGACCACATCAGCCCTGCTGGACCATCACTTCACCATGTAAGCTCCTGATTGTCACAGGTGCCCCATGTTGGCATTAGCAGATGTGTCACCATAATCAGAAAAAGGAGGGACCATTTTTCCCACATTCTTTGTGCTGACACCACTGTTGATGGCACTTGTGACAGCCAGGATCTCACATGAAGCTCTGTGGTCAGCTGGGAGAGGCAATGGGGGTGACACAGGTTCAATCTGCCCCCCCCCCTTTTTGTGCTGATAAAGACAGGGGAAAAGGGTAGTGATGGTGCCCCATGTAGACAGCAGACCAATCTGAATCAGCAGACAGCAAACCAATCTGCTCCATGTAGACAGCAGACCAGTCCAGCTATCTATACTATGCTGAAGCAGCAGGGATACTTCAGTTTCAAACAAACTCTGGAATATTCTCCGACTTTTACTAACAAAAATGTTGCTTACTTCTTATCCTCCCATACTAAGGCCTTTCCAAATGATAAATCAGTGTTAATGTGATTTTCACCTTTAAGGAAATAAGACTCTAAAAATGTTTATTGTGGTTGTGCAAATTTTATTTTAGTACTTTTCTGTGTGTTTGCAAAACCTAGGCATCACTCCTAGCCTACCTCTATTACATACAGAGATGCTTACATGAGTGCTCTAAAAGTACATATTCTGACAAAGCCTTCAGTCCAGACAGTGAAGTCCAAGGGCCAGAACAATGTTCTTCTGCATGAAGCAACTCTTTTACCCATAGTTAAGAGTATATATAACAAAGAAAGCACAATTTGGAAGCCTTAAAGCAACTGAAACACATACGATTGTTGTTGTAGTGCTGTGGAGTCCAAAGTTAGAAAAAGAAGGTGAGCCTTAGGGGTCACTATACATATTATACAGGATCATGGTAATCTCTATGATGCTATAATTCCATTTTATAATCTAATACTCCATTAAAAAGACTGCATGGAGTGTTTATAGCATACTATTCATCTTCCCATGAAAAAATGTCATTGTCCATACAGAGAGTTATTTTTTTCTATCCTTCAATTTACATTTGTATCTCAAAACAAATATTCTCTTAGTTTACACAATACCAGTGATTCATATTGCCAGGTATATTGTGTGTTTAATGGATTTAACTCCGGGTATGTAAGTAATCTCTCTTTTGTAAGCTCTATTTATCTATTTGGGCAGAGGTTTGCCTCTCTCTAAGTCCTCTATAATCTTGCACTGACCTTCATAAATCATCTGAACATGGTGGCTCCTCTCCAGCAAATTCATTGGTAGCAAAATCAATAGGGTCAATAAGGTTTATCTCAGGCATGATCTACACTGCCATAATACAGTTCAATGCAGTTAAACTGCATTATGAAACTGCATTATATGGCAATGTAGGTGGGGGCTCAGTCTATTATGTTAGTAGTGTTTAATTGCTTTAAGGAAGGGATTAAACCCCCACTCCACCTCCTGACCCCCTCTCTCCACCCCTACCCCGCTTCCAACAAACCTTTTCCAATCCTTTCAACCCCTTCCTATCCTCCCCCACTACCTCTTTTTTAACCTATTGTGTAACCAAAAACCTAATAATTTTTTTTTTAAAAAAGGAAGGGATAGTTGGACATTTCTTCAGTTTGCATTTTAATGCAAGCTTTATTACTCAACTACAGATCAACTGCACCCAAGAGTATTGAGGGAACTAGCAGAAGTCATTTTGGAACCACTGGCAATCATCTTTGAGAGTTCTTGGAGGATGGGAGAAGCCCCAGAAGATTGGATGTGGTCCCTATCTTCAAGAAGGGAAAAAAGGACGACCCAAACAATTACCGTCCATTCAGCCTCATGTCGATACCAGGCAAGATTCTGGAAAAGATCATTAAGGAAGTGGTCTGCAAACACTTAGAATCAAATGTGGTCATCACTAATAGTCAACTTGGATTTATCAAAAACAAGTCATGCCAGTCTGATCTCTTTTTTTTATAAGAGTTACAAGCTGGGTAGATGCAGAGAATGCCGTGGATGTAGTGTATCTGGATTTCAGTAACGCCTTCGACAAGGTCCCCCATAATCTTCTGGCAAATAAATTTGGCTAGGCAAAACTACAGTTAGGTAGATCAGTAATTGCTTAAGTGAATGAACCCAGAGGGTGCTCATCAATGCTTCCTCTTCATCCTGGAAAGAAGCAATGATTAGAGTGTCGCCGGGTTCTGTCCTGGGCCCGGTCCTGTTCAACAACTTTATTAATGACTTAGATCAGGGGTCCTCAAACTAAGGCCCGGGGGCCGGATACGGCCCTCCAAGGTCATTTACCTGGCCCTCGCTCAGGGTCAATCTAAGTCTGAAACTACTTGAAAGCACCCAACAACAACAACGACGACAACAACAATCCTATCTCATCAGCCAAAAGCAGGCCCACACTTCCCATTGAAATACTAATAAGTTTATATTTGTTAAAAAATTTCTTCATTTTAATTATTGTATTGTTTGAAAGTGTTTTTGCACTACAAATAAGATATGTGCAGTGTGCATAGGAATTAATTCATGTTTTTTCAAATTATAATCAGGCCCTCCTAAAGTTTGAGGGACTGTGACCTGGCCCTCTGTTTAAAAAGTTTGAGGCCCCCTGACTTAGATGAAGGGTTAGAAGGCATGATCATCAAGTTTGCAGATGACACCAAATTGGGAGGGACAGCCAATACTCCAGAAGACAGAAGCAGAATTCAAAACGATCTTGGTAGACTAGACAGATGGGTCAAAACCAACAAAATGAAGTTCAACAGGGACAAATGCAAGATATTCCACTTAGGCTGAAAAAATGAAATGCAAAGATACAAAATGGGGGATGCTTGGCTCAAGAGCAGTATGTGTGAAAAAGATATTGGAGTCCTCATGGACAAGTCATGCAGCAGCAAAAAAAAGCCAATGGGATTTTGGCCTGCATAAATAGGAGTATAGTGTTTAGATGCAGGGAAGTCATGCTACCCCTCTATTATGTCTTGGTTGTTGTTGTTTGTTATTATTATTATTATTAACTTTATTTGTACCCCGCTAACATCTCCCGAAGGACTCGGTGCAGCTTACAAGGCCAAGGTTAGACCGCACCTGGAATACTGTGTCCAATTCTGGGCACCACAATTGAAGGGAGATATTCACAAGCTGAAATGTGTCCAGAGGAGGTTGACTAAAATGATTAAGGGTCTAGAGAACAAACCCTATGAGAAGCAGCTTA